TCGCCTGCCTTGGCCTCCCAAAGTGCTGGGATTATAGGCATAAGCCACCATGCTTGGCACCCAGCTGATTTTTTAAGATTTTTTGTAGAGATGAGGTTTCACTGTGTTGCCCAGGCTGGTCTCAAACTCCTGGCAATCTTCCCTCCTTGGCCTCCCAAAATGCTGGGATTACAGGTATGAGCCACCATGCCCACCCATATCCTTTCAAGGCCATGCTGCTTCCCTTTATAGTCTAGTGAGGAACAGGAGGTGGTGAGCAAACCATGGGCTCTGTTGAGACCCATGCCCTCAAGTAGAGCCCCAGGTGAAGGTGGCAGCCTGATCTGGGAGAGGAACCTAAATTCGTCAAAATGGAGTTATTGTGGACAAAAATACAGTATATAAGCATGTTTATGTACGTATAGAGACCTAATTCACTCATAATGTTAGTATCACTGATGGTTGGCACCCTCAAGTGTCTTTAAAATTTATTATAGAAAATTTCAAAATATACAATCTTAGAACTATAAAATAAACTCCCATCTATCCGTTACCCAGCTTCAACAATTACCTACTCATAGCCAATCTTATTTCACCTAAGCCTCACCTATGCTCCTCCCTTAACTATGCCTTTGATGCAAGTCTCAAATATCGTATCACTTTATCAATAAATACTTCAGTACGTATCTCTAAAAGATAAGGATTCTTTTTTTTTTTCTTTTGAGACGGTCTCTCTCTGTCACCCAGGCTGGAGTGCAGTGGTGCGATCAAAGCTCACTGCAGCCTTGAATGCCCCGGCTTAAGCAGTCCTTTTGCCTCGGCCTCCTGAGGAGCTGGGACTACAGGCACACACCATCATGCTCAGCTATGTTTTTGTTTTTTTTTTTTTCTGGTAGTGATGAGGTCTTGTTATGTTGCCCAGGCTAGTCTTAAACTCCTGAGCTCAAGTATCTTTACTTCTCAGACTCCTAAAGTGATGAGATGAAAGATGTGAACTACCATACCTAGCCAGATAAGGATTTTTTTTTTTTTTGAGTTAGGATCTCTCTTTGACACCAGGCGAGAGTGCAGTGGCTAGATCATGACTCACTGCATCCTCAACCTCTTGGGCTCAAGCCACTCCACTCGGCCTCAGATAAGGATTCTTGATGTGTGCCTATAGTCAACTGAGCCCAGGAGGCTGAGGCTGCAGTGAGCTATGATCACGCCACTACACTACATCCCGGGCAACAGAACAAGACTCTGTCTCTTGGGGGACAAAAAAAAGAAAGGATTATTTAAAAAATATATAACCACAATGCTTTTACCATATCTAAAATCTGTCATCAAATATCATTGTTTGAATTTCCCTGGTTGTCTATATATATATATATATATATATTCACAGTAGGCTTGTTCAATGTCCCTTTTAACCTACAGCAGTGATTCTCAAGGGGGATGGTGGTGGAGTGATTTTGCTCCCCCAGGGGACATTTGGCAACGCCCAGAGACATTTTTGGTTGTCACAACTGGGGAGGATGGCCTTGGATTGAGGGGTAGAGGCGAGGGATGCTGCTAAACATCCTACAATGCACAGGATAACCCCCCACAGCAAAGGAGTAGCTGTCCCAAAATGTCAAGTATCAAGTTTGATGAACCTGATCCATAGGTTCCCCCAAACCCCCTCCTTTTTTTTCTTCACAATGTATTTACTGAAGAAACCTGCTTATTTGTCCTACAGTCTTTCTCTGTCTGGATTTTGTTGATTGCATCCCCAAAGTGTCATTTAATATGTTTCTCTGTCCTTTAAATTTCCTTTAAACCAGTAAATCCACAGGCAGAGGCTCACACCTATAATCTCAGCACTTTGGGAGGCCAAGGTGTGCTGATCACCTGAGGTCAGGAGTTCGAGACCAGCCTGGCCAACATGGTGAAAACCTGTTTCTATTAAAAATAAAAATAAATAAAAATAATAAAATAATAAAATAATTAGCCAGGCATGGTGGCAGGCGCCTGTAATCCCAGCTACTCTGGAGGCTGAGGCGGGAGAATAGCTTGAACCTTGGAGGTGGAGACTGTAGTGAGCTGAGATCGTGCCACTACACTCTAGCTTAGGTGACAGAGCAAGACTCCATCTCAAACAAACAAAAAAACTTCGCCTCATCAATTATTTGGTTACTTTGAGGTACAGTTCACCCAGTAAATGCTTGATTCTTTCATTTGTCAGTTTTCAGACCAAAGAGTTCATTCCCTAGCAGCCTCTAAAGGTGAATACCAAAAGTTTTTTTGTTTTACACTTTTTGTTGTTGTTATTACATTTTAATATGCCAGATCTTTCAAGAGATACCATTTTACTTTTAATCATACCATCAATACATTTCACACATGTATTCAAGGAAGAAGCTTACTGGGCTGCTCAGGACTTTATCAATGAACAGATACAGGCTGTGCTTTACTTTGGAGAGCTGGGGTGGTTGGTGGCCACAGGGATTCTTTCCAGGTTTGTTCCTGCAGAACCTCAGGCTTCCTGTAATTCAGCCCCACCCCTGCAGTTCTGGGATTCTTAACTCAAGTCCCCTATACCTCGTCATCCCCTTTGCGGCAAAGCTCTGGCCTCCTGTTAGGTTTGCATGAGCTCACACTCCTGGGCTTTGTCCTACCAAAGGGCTGTGGTGGGTACTCAGGCAGGACGCCTAGCAGAAAAACCTTTGGCCTGCAACCTCCAGGTGTTTCTTTCCCTCCCTGGTCGCTGGCATTTCTCCCTCCCTGGTTGGCTGGGATGGGGCTTGGCAGGAGGCTGTTTCAGAGACCGGTGCTACAGTAGGGTGAGGGGACTGGAGATGGGGCTTCCTTCATGCCTGGCTCCTGCTTTCACTATCTTCTTCTTATTTTTTATTTTCATTTATTTATTTATTTATTTATTTATAATTTTTTTTTTTTTAGATGGAGTCTTGCTCTGTTGCCCAGGCTGGAGTGCAGTGGCGCAATCTCGGCTCACTGCAACCTCTACCTCCTGGGTTCACGCCATTCTCCTGCCTCAGCCTCCCAAGTAGCTGGGACTAGAGGCGCTTGCCACCGTGCTTGGCTAATTTTTTATATTTTTAGTAGAGATGGGGTTTCGCTGTGTTAGCCATGATGGTCTCGATCTCCTGACCTTGTGATCCACTCGCCTCGGACTCCCAAAGTGCTGGGATTACAGGCGTGAGCCACCACACCTGGCCATTTATTTATTTTTTAGATAGAGTCTCACTCTTTTACCCAGGCTGGAGTGCAGTGGCGAGATTGTAGCTCACTGCAACCTCTGCCTCCTGGGTTCAAGCGATTCTCTTGCCTCAGCCTCCCGAGTATCTGGGATTACAGGCATGCGCCACTACGCCCGGCTAATTTTTGTATTTTTACTAGAGATGGGTTTTCATCATGTTGGCCAGGCTGGTCACTAACTCCTGAGCTCAGGTGATCCACCACTTTGGCCTTCCGAAGTGTTGGGATTACAGGCGTGAGCCATGGCGCTCGGCCAACTTTCCTTATTTTCATTTGTTCGATGAAAATAATGTTTGATTTCTTGAGCAACTACTGTGTGCCCGGCCTGTGCTAGGTGTTGCGGACACAGTGGAGAGTAAAACAGGCTGTGGTACTTCCCCTCAGCAAGACATTCATCAGATAATTGCACAAATGGACGGCAGATGGAAACTGTGGCATGAATTTATGAGAATGTGCTTATACTTGAGGTTTCCACTGTATTGGTAATGAGTTCATGTGTACTCTCTGTCCTCAGGAAACCTTGAGGTGTGCCCAAGCCCACGAATCATTCCCCCCTCCCCTACCTGTGCAGAGAAGGAGCTCCCCTGGAAGAGTGGGCAGGGGGACCTGGCAGTGTACGTGTCCTCGGAAACCACCAAGATTGTGCCTGTGGACATGCAGACCGGTTGGAACCAGAGCATCTCATCCCTGGAGAGCCTAGCATCCCCTCCCTGTAACCAGGCCCCAATTCTGACCTGCCTGCCTCCCCATCCACGGGGCGCTGAGGAGCCCCAGGCCCCTCTCCACCTGCCTTCTGATCCACGCCCTAGCTTTGCCTTCCCCCCGAGCCTGGCCAAGGCTGGCCGCTCCCGCAGTGAGAGCAGCGCCGACCTCCCCCAGCAGCAAGAGCTGCAGCCCCTCATGGGCCACAAGGACCACACCCATCTCAGCCCAGGCACCACTACCTCCCACTGGTGCATCCAGTTCAACAGAGGCAGCCGGCTGTAGCCCAGGGTCTCAGGGAGGAGCAGAAGGTGGAATCCCTGCAGGAAATGCTCCCTGGGCAACGGGTAGAGCCCTTGCAACTTGACATGGGGCCAGAGGGGCCTGGGTTGAAGTAGTAATTGGGCTTCCTTGGGGCTGGTCAGAGGGGTCACCTGAGCTGGTCTTCACAGGGGCCTTTCTCACCACCTCCCTGCTCCTAACCCCTGCCACTTTCTGTTTCAGTAAGGCCTCTACTGTGGCTCAGGACCCAGTCCAGGCCTTCTACGGGCTAGGCCCAGAGACTTGGGTTGCTGCTCTCCCTTCCCTAGTGGGTTTTTCCAGGGACTCTATAGGCAGCTCCTGCTCCCAAAGCAAGGGCATCATTCCTATTCTTCAGTGGATGCCAGCCTTCCCTGCCCCTACTCCCTCCCCAGCACTGGGTCAGTGGTGTCCTGGCAGTGAGGCTCCGTGAGAGGAACCGGGGTGGGAGGTGGGGCAGGCCTCACCCTCGGGCTTTGCTGCCCTGTTGGGTCAGCTACCCATAGTCCATTTTTTAAGGGCGGTGGGAACTTCTGTCTCCACATCCTGCTTTAGTCCCTTCCCTTTGCTGCCAGGTATTGGGGTAATAGTTCCTCCTTTTCCAAGACCAAGGCCAGGAGGCTGGGTCAGGCTTCAGTTCAGGCCTGTTGCTTAACTGGGGTCACCCTGGGATCTGCTGCTCTGGTCTAAGTCTGGACCTTTCTGATCCTTGGGTCTGGGTTTTTTGAGGAGGGGACATAGTGGCCTCTGGGCTGCAATGTCACTACCTGAACATTCCCTAAACAGAGAAGGAACCCAGCATCTCAGGGCCACTGCTCCACTGCTCTGGGGGCTGGGATGCCTGGCTAAGCAGGGGCTGACAGCAGGTGACTTTCCAAGGGTCAGCACCTGCCTTGTGTTTTGTACCTTGAACCTAAGATACATTAAACATCTCTCAGATGGATGGGTGTCTTGTGTCCATGTGTCAGAGCGTTCTTAGGGTGGGGGGCAACAACAGGGGCATCTGGTGAAGGAGGTGAGAACCCAACTGCCTGCCCCAGGGATTGAGAATGGAGGGGAATCCTAAGCAGAACTGTTCATCCTTCTGGTCCCATCATGTGTTCCCCAATACTTTCCCAATATTGTCCCCTTAGCAGGGGTCCTGCCATGGTGGTCGAGGGGATCACTGTTTTGGCATGGAGTTACAGAACTAGAAGTCTACAAAATGAGAAAGGCTAGCAGGGAAAGACCCCAGAGGTCAGGTGCTAAGCTGCCCTGATGCAGCACCCCACATACCTAGGACCAGATGAGCATTTCTTGAAAACCTGGATGCAGGTACAGGACACGTGAACACAGGTGGCCTTTTGCACATAACAGATGGGAAGGCAATCTCAAGGGCTCACGGGATTTGGTTACCCCGAGTGTTTATTTTTTATTTTTGGAAACAGGATTTTGTTCCATCACCCAGTCTGGAGTGCAGTGTCACAATCAGCTCACTGCAGCCTGGAACCCCTGGGAATATTCTCGGCGCAGTCTCCCAAGTAGCTAGGACTACAGGTGTGTACCACCATGCCTGCTAAATTTTTTATTTTTGTTTTTATTATATTTATTTATTTTTAGAAACAGGATCTTACTCTGTCACCCAGGCTAGAGTGCAGTGGCGTGATCTCGGCTCACTGCAACCTCCACCTCCTGGGTTCAAGCAATTCCGTCTCAGTCTCCTAAGTAGCTGGGACTATAGGCACATGCCACCGTGCCTGGCTAATTTTTTGTATTTTTAGTAGAAATGGGGTTTCACCATGTTGGCCAGGCTGGTCTCGAACTCCTGACCTCAAGCGATCTGCCTGCCTCAGCCTCCCGAAGTGCTGGGATTACAGGTGTGAGCCACTGCACCTGGCATATATATATATACATATGTACACAAACACACACACACACATATATATATATTTTTTTTTTGGAGGTAGGGTCTCACAATGTTGCCCAGGCTGTTCTTGAACTCCTGACCTCAAATAATCCTCCTGCTTTGGCCTCCTCTAGAGTTGGAATTACAGGTGTGAGCTACCTCACCTGTCCATCTCTGAGTGTTTATGATGCAAAGCAGATAGTGTGGGGTCCAGAAACATGAATAGAAATCCCTAGATGGCTGGGTGCGATGGCTCATACCTGTAATGCCAGCACTTTGCGAAGCTGAGGTGAGCGGATCACCTGAGGTCGAGAGTTCGAGACAGCCTGACCAACATGGAGAAACCCCGTCTCTCCTAAAAATACAAAATTAACTGGGTGTGGTGGTGCACACCTATAATCCCAGCTACTCAGGAAGGCTGAGGCAGGAGAATTGCTTGAACCCAGGAGAACAGCAGAGGGTGCAGTGAGCTGAGATCACACCATTGCACTCCAGCCTGGGAAAGAAGAGTGAACCTCCGTCTCAAGCAAAAACAAAAACAAAAACAAACAAAAGAAAACAAATCCCTAGATTAAAGCAGTCCCAAATCCAATTCCACTGGTGTCTAAATGACTTAAAAGAAGAAAAAAATTTGGCCCAGCACGGTGGCTCACACCTGTAATCCCAGCACTGTGGGAGGCTGAGGCAGGTGGATCACCTAAGGTCGAGTTTGAGACCAGCCTGGCCAACATGGTGAAACCCCGTCTCTACTAAAAATAACAAAAATTAGCCAGGCATGGTGGCATTCACCTGTAATCCCAGCTACTCGGGAGGCTGAAGCAGGAGAATGGCTGGAACCCAGGAGGCTGAGTTGCAATGAGCTGAGATCATGCCACCGTACTCCAGCCTGGAGGACATAGAGAGACTCCATCTTAAAAAAAAAAAAAAAAAATCTTTGAGAACTGGGCACAGTGGCTCATACCTATAATCCCAGCACTTTGGAAAGCCAAGGCAGGTGGTTTGCTTGAGGCCAGGAGTTCAAGACTAGCCTGGGCAACATAGCAAGACCCTGTCTCTACCAAAAATCCAAAAAATTAGCTGGGTATGATGACTTTAGTCCCAGCTACTTGGGAGGCTGAGGAACCAGAATTGCTTCAGCCCCGGAGGCGGAGGTTTCAGTGAGCCGAGATTGCACCACTGCACTCTAGCCTGGGCAACAGAGCAAGACTCCATCTCAAAAAACAAAAACAAAAACAAAAACCATATATATCTATACATTTGAGATATAAGTCACATACCATAAAAATTCACCCATTTAAAGTGTACAGTTCAGTGTTTTGAATATACCCATAGGGTTGTGCAGCCCTTACCACAATCTAAGTTTAGAACATTTTCATCATCCCCCAAAAAAACCCTGTACTCATTAGCAGTCAGTCCTCATCCCTGGCCCTCCTCAGCCCTAGGTAATAACTAACTTACTTTCTGGCTCTCTGAATCTGAAGGACTTCTGAGACACTTAGAAGGTTATACTTTAAGCCAACTTACCTTTACTTTCTCTGCATTATGTGCAGGGAAGGTGTGATGAGAAGGAAGAGTGACTTGGGCTTTGCCTTCAGGTTGTGCACAGTCCACAGTGATAAGGCCTTGTAGTTAACTAGTAGTCAACAGTTTTTTTTTAAATATTTATTTATTTATTTATTTATTTATTTATTTATTTATTTATTTTGAGACAGTCTCATTCTGTCACTCAGGTCACTCAGGCTGGAGTGCAATGGCATGATCTCGACTTACCACATCCTCTGCCTCCCGGGTTCAAGCAATTCTCCTGCTTCAGCCTCCCAAGTAGTTGGGATTACAAGTGCCCGCCACTATGCCCGGCTAATT